CTGTAAATAGAGGTCCACTGTTGCAATTTTGGAAAGAGGAGGTGTGTATTGCCAGGTATAACGTCCACGGTGACATAGTCTGTTTAATAGAAGTCCACTGTTGCAGGTTTGTAAAGAAGAGGTGTGTATTGCCAGGTCTAACGGTCACGGTGACATGGTCTGTAAATAGAGGTCCACTGTTGAAGGTTTGGAAAGAAGAGATGTGTACTGCCAGGTCTAACGTCCACGGTGACATAGTCTGTTGCCTCTTGACGTGGCCCACTACGGTTTTGAGTGTGCGAAGCACACCCTTTGGGGTGCGGAGCACCCCGGGTGCGAAGCACCTCAAGGGCCTTTTAACTAGTGATTCGCGCCATTTCTGTTGTCGGTTATGAATTATTCATCGTATAATGAATAAAACACATACTCATATATATTTATAAAGCACTCGATGTTGTCAAATGAAATTCTTCGTAGAGCCATTTGTTGATTAGTCTAAATATAATTCGCCTCCCTCATATATCTGTTCTTAGTTGCATACTTTTCTACTACCCGATCAATGAATTCAGTATAAAACGTCTGTTCTTGAAACAAACATTGGTTGATTAGCTGCGCTTGCACTCAGCTGTTTCGGAGCCTAGGCAGCGTGACGAAGATAATCTGTGCACAGCGGTAATGCATGAAATATGACACTTTTTCCGAATCCTGTGGGCAGATTCACAAAAACATCACAACCTTACAAGGCATATTTGAATGCTTTTACTCGCTTTTACTTTTTCTTTCGATTTTCAAGAAAGTTGAGGTATACTTGATACCTTCTGAGACTGAGACGGCGGACGCCATTTTCGGATTTGTGAATCGTGCATATCATTAACGAAGGACTTATGAATATTAAAATTGATGTCATGTGATCGGGTTATAACGCTCTCATTGGCTTGAATATCACCGAAAAAAAATTTCTGTGAAAATAGGGTTTACCTAGTAACTTATTACTTGAAAAAAAAATGACAGCAGAAATGGCGCGAATCATTAGTTAAGAGGCCCCTTCAGAGCCTGCGGCTGCTCCGGGGGTGCTCCGCACCCCGAAGGGTGTGCTTCGCACACCCAAATCCGAAGTGGGCCACGTCAAGAGGCTACAGTATAGTCTGTAAATAGAGGTCCACTGTTGCAGGTTTGGAAAGAAGAGGTGTACATTGCCAGGCCTAATGGCTAACGTCCATGGTGACATGGTGACGGTCTGTAAATGGGCAGGTCCAAGATAATGTCCTCTCAAACACCAAATTTTTATTTTGAAAGGAAAGGAATGTGATACACATCATCAAATAGCATGAGTTGAAGTTTCTGAATCAAAAAAAAATTGTAAATATGCAAATTTATTCGGGCCCAAATTGCATGAAATGAAATTCAGGCATTACGTATGGGACAATTTAAAAAAATCATATAAAATAAGTGAATGAAAGTTAGAAACTGACACTCACATAACAGATTCCTTTTATCCCCCAATTAATTTGGCAAATAAAAAAAATCATGACCATGTCTATTTTTCAATGAGGCTGCGTCCTCTCCCGATTTGTCCCATACATAACATTATGATGTCAAGTTTTTTAGTTTTCTCAAAAAGTTCATTATCTATTCTAACCAAACTTAGAAAAGTTCTAATTTATCACAAATGTGACAAGAATGCATCATTATAATTTTCATAAATCGTTCCACTTTGATTTGAGAGGTACTCCAAAAAAGTGTTACGTATGGGAAATTTGTGTACAAAGTCGATGGCCATATAGCTAAGAATACAAAATTTAAACCTTGTTATTGGGAAATTTTACAGCTGCACTTCAATCTGATCATAATCTACTGTCTTAAAAATACCTTTGGATGATAATATCATTATATTATTAGTTATTTAACATACGGTTATTTACAAAAAAATATATTTTTTACAAATGTTATGATTCTTCCGAAATTACGAATTATAGTGTGCTATAATACTTGCAATTAATTTTTATTTGATCTCTTTTTGTGGTAATTTTTTTTTACAAGATATTTATAGAAAAATAGAAATAAACAAACAAAATTGAATTTGAAAAATAATATTCCAAAAATATCACATATCAACAGTAATTTCTGGGCAATGTGTGTACAAAGTCAATGGCAGAAAAAAAAAAATATACAGCAGCAGATGAAAAAAGGTGGGATTTCATTTTCTTTCTGCCTGGATAAGCTCTGTATGTTAATTATCACCAAATGGTACCAAAAACCTGATATAAGTGTGAAGGCAACCTTACATTTTCACAGAAAATTGATTTTTTTTTTTTCCAGATTTTCCTATTGAAAATGCATGCGTCCAAAAGTGTCCCATACGAAACATCCCATACGTAACATAACTTTTGTGAGATTAATCAATCACTATGAAGAAACTATTCAATGGAATTGGCTGAAACTTCAGATTTAAAATATTGAGTACATGTAGTTTACCTTTATGCACAGTAAGTTTCAGAATGATAACTAAAATACTTTCACAGAGATTTAAGCTCAAACTTTTATTTTAAAAAATCTCATTTTCTCTGCGTCCCATACGTAACACACCTAAATTTCCACCTAACTCACTAACCAAAAGACCGAGAGTCGCGAAACTTTGCACAAATGTTCTCCCCATAGGTACAATGATAGACATGATTGTCTCTTAAATCACAATTTGTTCTCATTGTCTTTTTATAGTCCGAAATCTCTGAAATGTTACATACCTAATGTGCGGATTAGCTTGGACCTGCCCAAATACAGAGGTCCATTGTTGCAGGTTTGTATTAAAGGGATCCGGTAACTTTGTCTCAGATTCTGAAACAAAATCCGGGATTAGCTCATGCTGCTATGATAATTATAAACCTTTATGTCAGTCAGGAACTCCATGACTTTTACAAGCCGATCGCCTGTCTGATTATCAAGATATTTATGATTGAAATTACAAATTTTCAAAACCGTTCGCCGGACGGTTTTCATAACACTACAGTCTATTGGGGGAAACGAGTATGGTAAAACCGGTCACTCACAGATTTTTACTTTTTTGAGGCACTTCTTGATCATTTTGAAGCGCGATTTTTTTAGGGCTTCAATATTACACCATATCACAGACACTGATAACACGTAGGGCCGTGTATCTCAGATTTATCATTGTTAAACGATCCCTTTAAAGGGGAAGTCTAGACGATTTCCAATAAAATCTATTTTATGGCTTGAAAATTAAGGAGCATTTTGATACCACTTTCATCCACGGGCGTTACTTTTGTGATTTTTAAGCTCCAATTTTGTGATGGTAATTATTTCTAAAATAGTTCTCGCATTGCCGAAGTGCGATGGCCGTGTGACGTCATTGTGGCACTATAACTGCGCATGTGCGAACTTTCTCCATTGACTGGATGCAAGATATCGATGTGTCAAGTGTATAGCTGCACAAATTTTATCAGTTCTTGGGGAAAATGACCACTTTTCCAATTCTGAAGCCCTTGACACATAGGGCGATATATGCTCAATAGATTCTAGATATTTGAGCTGACAATTTTGATGTAAAAATGTAGAAATATTGGTGTTTGAACCTCAAGCCGTGGGATTTCTGACTGCTTGCTCAACAAAAGTGCGACACTGACGTCATGCGGACAGTGTAGCGAAATGCATTTCGGGTAAAACTGGCTCGTGTTAGCACTTTTGCTTATATCGCTTTTCCAGTGATTACTCGGTTATTCATGGGTCTACAGAGTCAAGTAAGACATTTTCTGAAAGCTTGATTTTTGCTCTATTTCAATTTTAAATTAAATTATCGCATAGACTTCCCCTTTAAAGAAGAGGTGTGTATTGCCAGCCCTAATGTCCACGGCGAAATAGCATATAAATACAGGAGTCCTCTGTTGTAGGTTCGTAAAGAAGGGGTGTGTATTGCATCATCGGAATCGTCATCACCATCATCATCACCACCATCACCATAATCATCGTAAACGTCGACCACCATCACCATCATCATCAAAATCGTCATCACCATCACCAAGAAACCCTTGTCAGTAAACATAGCAGTGGCTTTCTGCTAAAAAGTGTCCTTGGAATTATGTCCACTTACGCGAATTGTCCACGTAGGAATGAAATAATACATGTAAGTCAATGTTTTTTGATGGTTCGTTAAGTTGAGGATGCTGATTCCAAATCTAAATGATGCCACTCAAAAAACCAACATTTTTTGCAAATTGACAAAATCCTAGATAGCCGCCAAAATATGCAAATTAGCCATACAAATCACAAAATTACACACACACTGATCATAAAATGCCTGTAATTGTGATGGATGAATGAAACTGTCTGAAAACATGATTTTTTTAGCTAAACCTTGAATTTCTTATACGATAGAATGCTGCATTTTGAAATTCAAAATGCCAACATAAGCCCCTAACTAATATACTAATTTACTATATAATATGAAAGAACTAGCACTGTCTGACCACAAAGTGCATGTAATTATGATGTACACGTGTGAGTGAATTAGTGTCTGAAAACAAGATTTTTTTTTAAAGATTGTATCATTAATGTCATTTGCAGTAATTTTTTTAAATTCAGAATGGCTGCAATAGACCCCCCCCCCCCCAAAAAAAAAAACTATGTACAATATAAATGTAGAAAAAAATATTTTCACAAGAGAGCACAATGGGACCATAAAATGCATGTACATTGTACATGTCAACAATGCTGTAAATTACATGTGCAGATGTTCCTTAAAGTTTATGTGCATAATGTGCACCACACAAAGATGACATTCAAATTTATCAGACCTTTGAATAATGAAGGGACCAAAATATCTCCTGTTACAGCATTTTAGCTTTTTTGAAAACTATTTATAAGTTGATAACAAAATCCCTGAAAAAAATAAATGATGTAAAATTTCAGAATATTAGCAAGCACTTTCAAGAAATTTTAGAGTTCGCTAGTTGACCAGAGGGAGAGCCTTGGGACCAAAGAATAGAATTGAACTTCGGTTTGCCTACCTGTACTTTACACCACAGTGTTTAAAGTGAAAAACATACGAGTCTTCACTGGTCATCTCCTCATCATCAGAAACTAAAGACCGCTCGCCTCTATATTCAAGGAGAAAGCTCCCCTTCTCGAAAGTCATTGATGTAAAAAGACCATATCCTGGAAAATACAAATGTTTGTGATTTTGAAGGTTAAAGGAAAAATCAGAAATCATAATTGTACCGCAACTCAAAAAGTATTTTATCAATTTTTTTGTCTTTCAACAAAATGACGTACAAATTTACTAAAGGTACGTGAGGGGTCACTGTTGCCAAACAGCTGGTGTTTTGCTACAAAATCATGCAGTAACATTAGATGCTAGAAAAAGTATTACTCTTTTGCCAGCACGTGCCTTGTACCATTAACCAGTTTTTTTTTTCTTTTTCTGATCATTAAAACACATTTTTTGTTGTGTCTTCACTTTAGCCAAAATGAAACACTGACCAAACCAAAAGACACGAACCAATTAGAGCTTATCATTTCCATCCAGTCAAACTTAACCAAATCCAATGCTGATGGAATCCATTCACAGTTCTGCACTGTTATCAGGTGATTATTACCAAAGATGAGAATCCTACTTTGTGTATACTGATCCATGGTCCCCGCAAGAAAGGAAAGCTGTGACTGTGAGAGACAATTCTGGTTCTCGGCCAAAAGAATCAGATGGCAGATCTTTTGGTCTGGAAACTGTCCTGAGGAGCCCGATGGGAAAGGTACATTGAATAAAACTTTTCAAAGTTTATTCAAAGTCAATGATATAGGCAGCAATTATCAGAAAATTTAGTGATCCACACCCATAATAAAGACAAATAGCCCTCACCCACTAAAAGATACAAATTCCCCAAAATGTCCTGATCCACTGTCTCCCTTTTGAAACACAGACTTTACTAGAAGCAGATAGAACTGTAACTGTATCTGTAACATACGTAATAATACTACACACACTTGTAAAAATTATTCCATATTTCATTCTAAATTTACAGTTCTTGGCAGCACTTATTTAAACTCAAAGAAAGGTTATTCTTACCGATCACATCATTTATATATTGTTTTTGAAATCCACTCTTGTCCTTCCCCAGGCTACAGAAATGCTCTGCTTCGGCTGCCGGAGAAAATCTTTTTCTCCTGGAAGACATACTGTTCAAAACAAAACAGATGTGATGTAACAGTTATTTAATGTGACATTTAATGCGACGCTTACTCATTGATATCCAATGAATACAGAATAGACTAACTTGATCCAAATTAATTTGGAAGTCAAAATCTGCAAACTGATAATAGGCCTACATACTGTTCATCTTTCAATAATACATGTAGACTTACATGTAGAGCAAAAGGAGACCTTGGCCATGTATCCTATTCAAATGCTCCCAGAGTCCCTTTTTAACTGGACACCTTGACCTAGCCCGAGGTCCTAACTTTAGTTGTTACAGTTATTGTTAATTACTTTTACTATTATCTAAGGCTAGGCATTTGTGGAGTGCCTTTGGTAGATCTAGAGGTCAAGTCATGATAGTGTGGCATCGAGTTATGAGATCACTACATCCATGATGTCCTTTGACCTAGTTAATATTTTTGTTGAGCAATTTAGCAATTTTAGTCTAGCCTCTAGGATCTTGCCGTTTGAAGTTATATCTATGACGTCATATGTAAACAACAGTCCAATGAACAGCGTGAAATGAGCATTTCATCATCGCAATGATTTTTATCTGCCATATCTACAGAGAGGAGTTGGCGCTCTATTATCATTATTATCAAAATTATTATATTATAGCCTCATGGTATAGAAATCGTTTAGGATATAGAGCTATGATGCTATCGGTATCGGATGCACAATTTGCAACTGTCAGCAGGCAGCGGAGATGTGGCAAGCTAGCCAGAGATTCCCCAGTTGTGCCAGGCATCTTGATCGTACTGGCACCCCTCCCCTGTGGTCGGCCGGCCGGCTAGCTGTGTTTGTGTGCTGGCCGATATTTTCACGCGGACATGAATTGTAATCAAAATGGCAGCCCCCCAAGGAAAAATTGTGAGAGGAAAATGCTGCACTTCTGTTTAATGTATTTAAAGATGAGGAACTAGATATTTTCATTGGGGATGTTAACAGCGAGAACACAAAAAATTAGGTAAACTTTGGACTGAATATCTTTAAACTGGTGATTGAAACAGCATCAGTCTTTGCATAGTACATTTTAAAAAAAGATGGAAAAAGAATTGTATTTGTGGTGGAAGGGGAGAGCGGAGGGGGATAAGATATAAATCAACTTTATCATGGAGTAGTAGAGTAAAGTGGAAATTATGGATTCCGCGTTGGCAGGATATAGCACTATTTACTGAGGGGCATTTAGTAGGATGTTTACTATTAGAAGTGGGCTACAGGGGAATAAGTATTTTTCAGAAACAGATGGGACATATCTCAGCTTGTTGATGCAGCTTGATCTCCTGATCGATATGACACCAAATTGGAAGAATATCCAGACAGTGCCGCCCAAAAATCAAATTTAAGGAGGCGTGGCCAAAAATGCTGAGTCCTCATTTTTCAAAAATGTGAACAAAAATTGTATCTTCTATTCTCTTTTTTGAAGGGCAATTGGCATTTTAATGGCTTATTATGTTTTCAATTGTGACAAATCCAATTACACTGTCTAAATACCTTTAATAATAAACCCCTAATATATTGTCCTAAAAACAAGATTTGAGTTGAAACACAGTAGAGCCAGAGGAGAGGCATTATGCCCCCCCCCCCACGTTGTTTTGCATAAGTCCGACACACATAATTTTTTCAACAATGTATCTATGGACTGCTTCGTTTGATGTCTATGGCAATTTATGAGACCAAAATCAACATGCCCCCTCCAATTATATTTAAGACTTAACCCTTCAAAAAATGTTGTCGACCTGAAAACTAAATGCGAATTCAATTAAGAGGTAATAGAAATTGAATTTGAGGAGAATTTTCATAAATAGATGTATTTAGTTTATTTTAGCTTTCAGTGGCTGAGCTCAGTTCATTTTAGGATAATTATGGCTGAAAAGTGTTCAGCAGCAAAATTTCCCCCTAAAACACACAAAACATTTTAATTTGCATTGACTTTGTTGATGATGTCATTGCTCCATATTTTCCAATAGAGTCTGTTGAAAAAATTATACATTTTATCAAAATCTGTGTACGACCAGGATTAGGATACAAGTATGTTTTGCCCACCACTGTAATTTTAAACTATTCAAGCATGAATGGTCTCACACAATACTTTATTTAGGCATAAAAGTGCAACTTTAACTTAACCATTTGTGTGTACAGAGTCAATGGGAAATTGTGAGGCAGTGATATCGGGTACTCCCGACGAGTCCGACAGCCCACGAGTCCGACAACCCACGAGGCCGACATTTTTAATAATTGGTGAACGAGATAGACATTAAATAAAAACGGACTTGAGTCCGACAGCTCATTTATCCGACAAAATTATAAAAATGCCTATGAGCACGACCAAACATAAATTTTACAAACGAGACCGACTCTAGGTAAAATTGGTCTATTAGTCCGACAGTTTGCTTTTTAGCCGATTAGATCGACAGTAGTTCAAATTGTATTTTAGTCCGATAATTTATAAATTTTGCGCATTACTCCGACAATTGAATAGTGCCATCTATTGTTGGCGGACTAGATTCCTATTTTCTGAACTGTCTGACTAGCAATATATTTTACCAATTTGTCGGTCTATTGCACTAAAATACGTTAGTCGGTCTCGTAGGCCCTTTTTGCGTAGTGTCGGTCTCAAAGTAAATAATTTGTCAGTGTCGATCTAGCGAGCCTAAAAGTCAAAATGTCTAGCTAGAACCTCTTTTTGAAAAATGTCGATGTAGTAGGCTTATATTCATTTCTGTCGGATTCGTGAGCTGTCGGACTCGTAGGCTGTCGGACTCATGGGATGCTCCCATGATATCAACTTGCTTCATGCACGTTTAGCCACTTGACTTATGAAACTATTCAAGAACTGTTATAACTTATGTAAGGTAACTTTGAATTGGTATGAATTCCTTATATTTTGTCCGAATTGAAAGAATTCAGTCAAGCATAATCTTATTTTTGTTGGCATTATTCAAGCTGAAATCAATCAATGGTAAAACTGTCAAAGTCAAAAGTTATGCAAAGCCATTTCTGACTTTCATTCATTTGCGTAGTCATCCATGAGGAAAAGAAGGACATCTTGGTGTCATGAGACAATTATCTAATTAATGATGCCTTGGAATTTTCCCTAAAATTATCCACATCCCAGAAATCATTCAAGATAAATCTTGGTTACCTTTTTCTGACACGCACTACATGACTGTATTTAAAAGCAACTTGTATTTTTTCTGTACCAAGACATTCAATTTAACACAGGTCTCATCATATTCAGAATTATACTTGCTTGCCTGTGTGTTTTGCTCTTAATACTCATACATTCAATTAAAAGTTCAAAGCACACATGTACACTTAAGTATTTCATTTTTGGGACAGCAAACCTTGAATTTGTTTATTTTTGGAACATCGATCCTTATTTCATTTTCAGAACATTGAACCTTTATTTTTGGAACAACGAACCTTCAAAACACTGAACTTTTGGTACAATGAGCTTTAACCAGGAGTTAACTCAATTTTTTATTTGGAACTCTAACAAAAACATAAAATGTGCATTCAAAAAGTGTTGTAAAAATATCAGGAATTGCCTATTGCAAATTGGGTTAAAATGAAACATTTAATAGCCTCTGTGAATAGTCTGTATACCAGAAAGCACTAGAATTGCAAATCCTATTTCTGTGGAAAAGAGTCTAATTCATAATGGCTTCAACTTCAAGGCATTGGTTAACAATGTATTCAGTAAAAACAAAAATGAGCTGCATGATGTATGCTACGTGAAGTACCAGGAAATTACATATCCTCAAAAAATGTTGGAAATATTATCATTTAGTGCTAAAAAAAATGAAAAACCTGAACTTATCACCCAAAGACTACTGTGCAGGAATTAAATATTGTCTTCACTCTTAGCGAAGTGTTCTGTATTAAAGTGTAACAGCTAGTGTAAGGATCTTATACTAGACAAATTTTGTCTTATCTTGGCAATTGGTATTCTGAAGAAAGTTCAAAAGTCACAGATTCAAGTCACAAATTTATGGTCTCTTACTTAGAAATTAGTTTCATTCTATAGCTAGTTTACTGTACCTTTAGGCTTCACAATTGCAATAAAATCTCCACAACAACTGCCACGAGTTCCTCGTACGAAATGCTACTGTCCTTGTAAAGATCTATAAAGTATAAAAGAATCTGCACTTTCTCCTCTGTAGCCACATTTAAGTCATCTGCTGCCATTTGTACAGTCTATACGAGAAAAAAATTGCATATATACCATTGTCATATTTTTAAAATAAATGAATACCGCCACACGCGTGTGGCTTTAATTAAAAACACACGTGTATGTCGGTATCCAACCCACGTAGGGCTAGATACAGCCAATTAAACGCTGCTCTTACCTCTATCGATTTTGTACTTGGGCATGAGAAATGCATAATTTTCATGTGGTGTTCGCTGCGCCGGTAGCACTTACTATACATAATTCTATGGTACTGTACTATACTACTAGCCGGGGCGCGGTATACGCACGCCTGCACAATGCCAGTAGTAGTGCCTCTGTGGTGTATTACTACTGGCAGTGTGCGCGCGTACGTATACCACCTTCCGGCACCACCGGTACCACATGAAAACACTTCATTCATTTATGCACAAAGTCCAATTTGATACAGTTAAGAGCAGTGTGTGGCTGTATCGAGCCCTACGTGGGTTGGATATTGCCACACGCTTGTGTCTTTAATTACAGCCACACATGTGTGGCGGTATGCACTGCCATGAAGTTAAAATTCAGGCTTGGTCGCATGTCACAAGTTCATCCAAATTCGATTTCAGGGTGAAAAATGCCAAAAAAATGATTTTTTTTTTTTTTTAAATATGTTGTCCCAATTATTATTCCCCAACAAATGACACCATATTTGATGCAAACTTTTTAATTTAGCTGTTAATTGCCAATTAATCACTAATTATTACACTATGGGGATCAACACTTCATATGCCTTATTCTCGAAACGGACCTGAATCAGAGATGCCACAAATGGAAGATAAAATTTCCTGAAATAGCCAGAATTTTTTTTTGAAAGTGACCTTTTACCTATACTTTTGTACACAAGCATCTCACACAAATTTCCTGAAATCAGGAAATTTCCTGAAAAGTGGCATAACTGCTGAATCAAGAAAGTGGCTCTAATTTCTTTTTTATAAAGAAACCTGTTTAAATTTTCAGGATATGTTCTTCAAATATTAGTGAATAAAATAAATTACATAAGTAATTGACATTGATGAGGTTAAAAATGAATTGTTGTGACATAGTGTATCAAAGTGACTTGTATGGGATCAATCACAAGTTCAGGCTTCAAAGAATATGCCTTGACACTGTTTTCTTGCTTAGGCCCCCCCCAAAAAAAAATTGTTGTATTGGCGTAACGGGCCCCTGAAAAATAGGGTCGGTCGGTCGGTCGGGATTTATTTATTTATTTGTTTATTTATTTATTTTTGTGTGCGTTCGTAACCTGCACACACACCACTATTCATGCAGGCGCTATTACATACAACCATACGTTTACATGGATACATTCAAACACATGCAGAACCTAGTGAAAGTTTATTTTGTGGAAAAATTGAACATTCAAAAGCGCAATATGCGCAGCCGAAACACTTTCCGGTTTTTTTTCGATAGCGATCGCTATCAGTATCACTATCGAAAAAAAGATATCGATAGCAAAAAAAAAAAAAAAAAGTAGGGTCGGCTCCTTTTTTTAGGGTCGGGCGAGTTACGCCAAGGCACATGATGCAACAATCTTACTCTTAGGCATATTGTCCATGTGATGTTATTAAGAAAATAAAATAGAAGATAATTAGACCCTACCATGTATTCTTGGTGGCGATAGGTGCGTACCTTTAAAAGACAATCAAACACTACAACAGCGCTCGAGAGGTCTTTGACTAGGCTAGATCTAAGTCTTTAGGATTTGTTCTAAAGAAATTTTCTTCATGATTTTTTTCTTCTTCTCTTTTATTTTTAAGTAATCTCAAGAATTTTCTGCATCTAGTGTTACCAAGCACTGTGATTAAAATTATATTTTATAACATTTTATATTCAACAAGAAAAAAGGTGTGTACCCTGGCCTTGGAGTACTCCAGCCAGCATACAAAGTCTAACTTATGACTTATGTAGGCCTACCGCGGCCGCATCCGCCCCTGACAGACAGTCTCAAGTTCTTGCAGTTGCAATACATTAAACGGATTGTGCGACTTACATCGAATTTGTAATGAAGCTGAATTCTCTCAGCTCCAAAACGCACACAAGTTAAGCCCAAAATGTTGGGCTAGATGAATATCCTGTATTTGAAAAGAAAAATGATTAGAAACGTACCTGAAATTGAAGATTTCTCACACCTCTTGCGAACTTGCGCGCCGTACTTGGTGCGGCTACATTGTCACGATCACGTTGGTATTTTGGTTGCGCGTGCACGGTATACGAGTTTTGGCGCTCGATATCGATCTAGATCTCTACACGTCACTCACTGCCGAAAGGGGGCGTTATTCATTTATGCGCGACGATTCCTGGAGAATTTTGTCACACGAACTGTGTATTCGTACACTCCTGATACTATTTATTACCTCTAACGTGGACTTCGTCAAATTTTCCAGATATTAAGAGAGCGCCCTCATTGGGCCACGTAAATGACGAAAATAATAGGCGTTCTAATCGTGGACGTCCACGATTCCTGTGTGTCCACGGTTTGAAGGTGTGTATTCTGGTGAAAGTCCACGATCGAAGGCATTTACACACGCACACACACACACACACACACACACACACACACACACACACAAGAAAACTAAAATTTACGAGTAAAACTATAAATAGGCCTATATCAAAATGATTCAGTATTTTGTTCCCGAATTGCCCTTTTTCAAAAATAGTTGTGATCGTGTTCTTCCCTAAATATAATATCCCTATATTTCTCTCTCACTCTTCCTCTCTCTTCTAGATCCCCCTCTCTCTCTCTCTCTCTCCCTCTCTCTCTCTCCCTCCCTCTCTCTCTATCTCTCTCTTCTAGATCCCCCCCTCTATCTCTGTATCTCTCTTCGTCTCCATTTCTCCTGCTTGTGATTCCATGAGCACGTAGAAAGGTCAGAGATATCTGGTAGCAAAGGTTATCCAACTTTAGTTTCATTTGGTTACAACATGGCGGATATTATTCTGTTCTGTGCTTGCCCAAGAAAGTAGTATTCGCAATATTGTGTTTAGCTGGATCCGGTTTTTGCCAAACTTTCCTAATCAATGGCTCTGGGTAAGGTATTTGAAGAGCGCCATCTCGCAATTTGTGGGTGATATTGGAAATAAAAAACGATGCAAAATCAGCTCGAATAATACATTTCGATATCAGTAGGTGTTTCAAAACATAATGGCCCGAATTCACAAAGCAAGGTTTGAGCTCAGACCAAGGTTTGACCTCAAACCTCCCTTTGTTCCGCCAAACCTCCTTTTGTTATTTACAAACCAGGTTTGTAAATAACAAAAGGAGGTTTGGCGGAACAAAAGGAGGTTTGAGGTCAAACCTTGGTCTGAGCTCAAACCTTGCTTTGTGAATTCGGGCCAATCAGTTTCATACAAATTAGTAAACCTTTGTAGAAGGAAGTTTCAAAAAGAGTAATGATTATCATTCAATCTAAAAGTACGCGTCGTGTTCACATCAATGAAATTACAAATTATACTCAAACGGTGCGATAATATCCTAGTAAGGCCGGACTATATATATAGGTAAATATAATATCAGGTAGAATAACCTGAGAGGGAAAGAGAGAGAGAGAGAGAGATAGAGGTTAAGACAGTCAAAAACATAACTCTTTTATTTGCATATATTTTTAAAAACAGCAACAAAATGCCAGTTCATTGTCACCATCTGACGCGCTAGTATTACATGAGTGTACATCTCTCTCTCTCTCTCTCTCTCTCTCGTGGTATTACCTATTCACCTCCTATATTATGCCTATGTCTGAATGCACTGAGGAAACGACTCTGCTAAAATTTAATTCATATTTATTATCTAAGTTTTGACGGTCTGTGAACAGCTAGAAAAGTGTTTAGTCATTTACTTTATGAGTGAGTTCTGGCTCTCGACACACGATAACACATTTTAGTGTACACGTTCACTTGTACAAACGGAAAACGATTGTTTAAAATCCTCTATAGGCCAGGATTATAAAACTTGTACAGATTTGCAAATATATATGTATTTAAACGAAATATCAAGGCAGAGAATACAGCAATGACTATTTACGGTGGTTTTTAGTAATACTACAACGAATAGAAAATTATTCATGCCTATGAAAATTTGAATATTTTGAGTGTTATTTTCGTTACTCAAGAATCGAAGGTGGACTAGTTGAATTAAGGCCTCTATTGAATACGTTTATATGTAAGCTTTGATATATCACATTCTCAAACAAAATTAAACCAGAACAGACCAATTACACATGTTCTGTAAAGGTTTGAATAACTTAGTAGTTAACTGTAAACTGGAACACCTGCATCAACTTTGCAACAGTTATGCATGGTCTCACTCCCTTGCTAATAAATTACTTGCGATTATATATTTCTATCATATCCTGTATTCAGATTGGAGAATGCTTATAATCAAATGTTAATAAAAACAGTTGAGAAATATTTTCCTAGCCTTTTCGCCAACAAAAATCTGTTGAGAACTGTCTCAAAATGTCAAGAAATTACCGTAGATCACGAAAACTATTACAGCTTTATCAAAAATGTATGACTAAATTCACTTAATCTACTCATATTTCAATCAATTACTTTCCCGTTCTCCTTGAACTAAATCTTCTCACTTTGTGCGAGTAGCGTCGTGCATAAATCTTCATAATTAAAGTGACGCAATGAGGTCAACTAAATATATTATCACATTTCTTGAACGATACTATCGATAAAATACATATTCATGACGATCTCATCCAATCAGAATGCCGCCTAGGGTGCTTATTTCATCTTCACATGATCCAAAAGAGGCGGAGTCTTATCCCATTTGCGTAATGGTTTCCGCGCGTGCTGCTTTCCGTCTCGTAATTATAATATGTAAACGTCTTTGGTTAGTACACAGTGGCGCATCTGGCATTTTGCGTCCATATAATCTTCAAACAGTAAATTACTATCACTTGTTTTAATTTTTAAATCGGTTATTTGGCAAATTAAGAAACAAAATAATAATAATAATAATAATAAAAGAATTGTGTGTGCCAAGAGGTGAAACAAATGTAAACCCCCCCCCCCCCCCCCCACTGAACGAAATATCGATAGGCCTAATTTTCCAATTTTCAGGAAGAAACAAAAGTGCTCTCATCCCCCCCCCCCACACACACACACACACACACACACTTATTCAGCGGCCGGTTGAGCCGTTGCGAAATTTTCCCTCAAAAACTGGACAAAAAGAAAAAAAATGTGCTCTTACCTAGTAGCTGACAAGCAGTCAAATGGAAAAGAACAAACAAGTGTAACATCCGTAACAACTACTGACATAAGCAACGACAGACATAATAACACAATGGATATTCCCAACGAATGTCATAAGTAGTATGTTTGTATTTTCTTGACCGTTTTTCGGAAAACGATTTTTATGTGGGATCTCCCCTGCGTATAGGCTAGTGTTAGTACAGCCGCCTACATCAACGATAAGGTATCTTACTTCTTTGCTCACAAGAGAAAAAAAAATATTTATGTAATATATCACCATCCTTTAAGATATTAACATATACGTCGAGTATCATACAACTTCTTAGTATTTGTCATGAATATAAAATGCAGAGTTTTCATTATCCTTATGGCACTCATCGATATACGCCGTTGCTACATAATGGTTGTCAACATCATTGCACGTTGACCCGCTTCTTTCGGTCGCCATGCATGTGTTGTAGGAACTGAAATATGCCAATTTGGGAATTCCCCAACCTGCTTTGTCGTCACATGACTAAAAATGGCGGCCCGATTTATTCAGATGCTCTGCGTGTCATGCAATGTATGCATGATACTTTACGTATGCTCGATACAGGGTAAGTCTACTCTGATTAAGATGCATGTTCATGTATATATTTGGATCGAGATAATAGAGAAGCTGCATGCACATTTCATTCCTAAGTCCTTTCTCGTCATTCACAATATAATTATAGCGGGACTTTTCAACTTGAACGTATGCACGTACATGTATATATATGTTTGAGAACAGATAACAGTAGGAAATACTGCTTTGCAGTGCGTTAGTCTGATCAAGTGGTTTTAAGAGATGGAGTCCTATCTATAGCTCATTCCCTTTGTACCATCTTCGATGCCGCCAGGAGAAAATATATCAGACATGTGCTTAACTGGATATTTATGCAGATACGTAGTCAAAAGATTCCTGCCTAGCTGCAAACTAACGGCCACTTTCAAAGGGAAATATGCTTTTGTAATGATAAATTGCTTTTCGCTACCACTCGTCTGATAATACGAGCAGTACACAGTGCTTACGTTATACAGGGGGAGGGGGTTGGGGGTTAACCCCCCCCTTAATTTGTGTTAATGTGAGTATTTTGGAGCACCCCCCCCCCCCATTGAGTTTTTTGTTGATGACCTAAAAGAGGTGACCTTATTCCCCCCCCCCCCTCCCCAAAGAAACAAAAACAAAAACAAAAACAAAAACGGAACGACATGTCGAAGTGTCGAACAGTCAAATTTTCCAAATGTTGGGACCCCCCCCCCCCATAAAAAGAATGTCCTCTTACACCCCCCCCCCCTCCCCCCTTGAACAAATCCTGCGTACGCTACTGACTGTACATGAACAAATACACGCCGCCAGTAATCGGAAAAGTGTCAACTTGCAGGTTTGAGAACATTTCACTATTTTTCGCTGTTTTTAAAGCTGTACAATGTAAACTAATTTCTTGACACGATTAGGCTGTTGCATTCATATTTTATCATCTGTTCGATGTTCCCGTTGTTAGTTCAAATAAAAATAAAGATTAAAGATATTTCGTTGTGAACAAAATCACTACTCAAGCTTTCCATTAATATTTGCGGCTTCAACCCTACATCAACGGTAAAAGCACTGAATCAGTATATTCTATTATGCAACCAAATTATAGAATGGCAGCTGCTTGGAATAATTTGTTACCAGTTGGGTCTCCAGCTCTTAAAACTCCCTGGTCTGATGACAGAAAGAAAAACATTTCAGGATTATCGGGTGGGAGAGGGGGGTATTATAGCAGGACATGTATCGAGTCATATAATGGTGAATTTCATATTTATCCAGGGACATGAATTATACATGAATCTGTGAATGACCTTAGGTTTGACCGTAAATTGAAATAATACACTCTGGATTTAATAGTTGGCTGAAAAATCCCCCAACAAGTGCGAAATTACTCTGATGGAGCTTATACGCTAAGAATATTTTTTCTGAATATTTGAATATTGACACTTGCACACGTATTTTTTAACTAATGTTGTATTTATACAACGAATATGGTAGGGCAGAAGGACGATTTAGCATGTTGAAGGGTGTGGGTCGACCATGTACTCCCAATCCTACTGGATGTGTTTCGTGGATAACAAAGGACTTTTAATCTAATACACGCTATTCTGATTAGATTTCAGTCTCCTTTGATAAGTCACCCAAAGTGATTCTTATCACTGCACTATTAAACCAAGAAGCTGCTAGTAACTTCTTGATTAAACATTCAGGCCCGAATTCACAATGGAGGTTTGTCGACAAACCTTGGTTTTCGTGCGTCATAGACGCGTTTCGACGCGTTTTTACAAACCAGGTTTGTGTAAAAAAAAAAAAACGCGTCAAAACGCGTCATATAACGTACATAAACCTCGGTTTGTCGACAAACCTCCTTTGTGAAATCGGGCCTCAAGGTTTGTACGGTATTGTTTTATGTATTTATTTTCCTTTCATTAGTGTAAACAGAGCCCTGTTGAATACCAGCATTGGTTTGTGTTTCGGACGTTTACTTTTAATACATTTCAAATACTGTCTAGCATAGATATAAATCTCATATGAAAACCGCTTTCATGGAGTAAAAGTTATTATCATTACATCGAAATTAATCTTGTGTAATTATTTGGCCGCTGAACAGTCTACTCTGTGTAAAGTTGTGATTTAAATGAATGACACCAAACAAAATAAACATGTTCGCCAAATCTTAATGTATGTAGCTTACTTTTTTCCATTCGCCGTGTAAAATCGTGCTACATGTACTACATTATATGGGGCATATCGTAGTATGTAGACTGTGCATTTATGACATTTAAAGTGTACAGTTTACAGTCGGAAATTTTCGAATAGAGTGCTTCCTTCCGCGTTGTTTTTGCATTGTGTCTAATTATATCACAGCTGACCTGGTGGCATATGGTGGAAGCTTTAGTCTTGATTTTCATAGGCTATTTTTTTTTTAGAGTGGTATTTGATCTGGATTTGATGATTTCTACCTTGTCAAGTACACATTCCATCGAATTAATGGTTACGTTTATTTGTCTTAGAATTATCTGGAATGACTGGTTTCTACAATGAGTCTGTTCGTTGTGGTAACTCCTTGGTTTGATTATAAAATTCCTATATGTTTTCCAATACCAATATCAATAGCATAAACCCGTATCCGTGGTTTTAATACCAAAGCATTCTCTGAATTAAGATACAAATGACCCTGTGTATCCGCAGATGATTGAAATAAGAAAAGGCCACATGATTTGTGTGTATGTGAAATAAATCACTCTCATTCAGTATGCCAAAGAGATGGAAGGTTTAAAACAATAATGTCTAGCTCTCGATCATAAATATATATCAAAGTATGTTTCCTATTCTACTAGATAGCATCTCGCAATTAACAACATTTGGTACTATGAGGTGTTGTTGAAAATACCTTCCAGCTAAGTTAAACCATCCCAGTGCTGTTTCGTAGCAAGTAAGCTATTGTTTGGCTTTCTAGAAAAACGTTATTACGTCAAGTATTGAATGAACTACAGATTATTATATATGACTTACTTGACTTAAGTGCACAAGACGGAGTGTCCCCTTGCGCTCCTACGGGTGGTCTGCCTCCATTCACTTCTATCCTGGGCTAGAAGATGTACTCCTGCTATTGTCCGCAGACATCTTATCTCAAAAGTTTCCAGTTTATCTCGGTCAGTTTTCCTTAGCGTACACGTCTCTGACCCGTAGGTGGCTATAGGACGAATGAAGGCTTTATATATCCTGACCTTCAGGGGTCTTGAAATGTCTTGTTTGGTCCAGACTATATATTAATTTGTATTCGTTTTTAATACAGGTGTGAATTGTGATGTACCAGATGGCGTCGTGTATACCGATTTACACAAAGCTGCAGAGAAAGGAGATGAGCTTTTAATGAAATGTCAATTCTATGGTGTGCCAATCGCCGTTTACTGGAAGAAAGGAGATGACCCAACGAAGTCACCCAACCTGATCACGTGGGTGGACGGGGAATCCGATTCCGGGTCATGCGTTCATGACGGATCTTGCAAAATGAGCAATGACTTCTCTCTCATCATCAGAAATATAACAGTTTCGGATCAAGGAACATATATCTGCAGAGTTTCAAACTACAAAGGGATCTTGATTCACAACTTTACAGAAGTAAACGTCTTTGGTAAGTGTATAGTAAAGTGTACATTTAAAATAATGACTGAGAACTACCCTAAAAAAGATTGTTTCATAACTATATACATGCTTTAGAATTGTACTACTGCTACATGTTAACCTAATACTTATAGTTGTAGAATGTTTATTAACACAAAATCATGACGAAAGAAAAAGTATTACTATCTTATTTACTATAAGATAAGATTTACTTGTACTATTATATTTATAGTTATATTAATATATTCAATTTGAACTCCTAAATTGAAAGAAAAAGCTTTATGCGTCTCATTCTATTTTTTACCTCATGAAGATATTATGATTTTTCTTGATTGGATTATAGTACACAATTTCATTTTCAGCTCCTCCGATGGAACCCTTTCCACTTATCGATGAATGTGCAGGTACACTTCCCAACGATGCTGAACAAACCTGTAGTCTTTCAACCTCTGACAGCATCACCATCACATGCTCAGCCTCAAGCTACTTTCCAGACATCGATCTCTTCTTCTTACACGAATCCAAAAAGATGGATACAACAAATGTCAAGGAAGTTGCAAACATGGACGGGACGAGAAACAAATCAATCTCCACTGTCGCTGAACCCAGTGAAAGCCCCTATGTTTGTGTCGCTTCGGATATCCCGGGATCACAAGACCATAGAACAGTGACTGTCACCGTGACCTTTCCAGGATCAACTGTTGCCATGTCAACATCATCCAATCAAACCACTTCATCTCCGGGTGGTGGTGAAACCAAAGTTGGTAAGAATTCACGACGATTTATCATCTTCTTTTTTCGACTGGTATTCGAGAGTTGATGAACAGTACACAACTGTTATCATCTAGGGTATCAGTAAACATTATCCACACAAGGAACGTATGAATAAATCCGATCGACATCAAGGATTTAGTCAGTGTTTAGGACCGTTTTTTTTAAGGTACCGATGGTTGATATATTTTAATTTAACATAATGTGTATCATTGGCTTCATGAACAAAGGTAGCGAAACTAGTTTTTGTTTAGTTTGGAAAACTGCAATCAACTCCATTTCAATAGTTATTGGTTCGACTAGCAAAGTTAGATCCAGACAATTAAACGACAAGTCAGGAGGAAATGCTAATGACAGGTGATTATCATTTGTAATGAATGGTTACTCTTTATGACAAACTGATGTTTAATCACATGTCCGCTCTCAACAATCATGTTGTAAATATCTAGGTCATAATTCTATAATCGTGACTAGTGATCCGTTACCAATCGCAAATAATAATAATAATAATACATATGATTAATAATGCGCCAAATCCACTTGACAGTCAAATGCTCAAGGCGCAGCTTGTGCAAAAGATGAAATACATACGGTACATTATACATTTATACAAAGTGCGATAGGAAAGGTACAGACATGAAAGGTTATGGTAATCAATTATAAGCTAAATTAAACAGATATTTCTTGATATTGTTTTTCAACACTTCAGCAGAACTGCTATTCTTAATCGATTGAGGGAGTGTATTCCATAATGAAGGCCCAGCATGAGCGAAGGTTCGCTCCCCCCACTTTGTTTTAACCCTAGGAGTAACAAGTAAGCCAGAGTTTTGAGAACGTAGCTGTCTAGAAGGAAAGTAATGCTTAATCAAGCCGATGTTATACTGCGGAGCAGAGCCATGTATACAGTGAAATAATAGCAAAATAATCTTGAAAACAACACGTTTTTCTACAGGCAACCAATGGAGTGATTTGAGGACTGGTGTGATGTTACTGTACCTGTTGGACAGGGTCACGACACGAGCAGCAGCATTCTGTAATCTTTGTAATTTTGCGAGTAGGTTGTGAGGCGAACTAAACAAAAGGCCATTACCAAAATCCAAGCGAGAAGAAATGAAAGCATGAGTAATTTTCTCAGTTGCACTACGGTTAAGATATTTACGAATAAAACCCAGATTGCGTAACTGATAACGTACTGATTTTGAGACATATTGAATGTGTGTAGACATTGTCATGTTTGAGTCGAGAAACACACCAATGTTGCGACATACATTAGATAGGGTAATTTCATGGCCAGCAAGAGTAATTGAAGTGATGGAAATCTTCTCTAACTGAGTCTTAGAACCATACATTATAAATTCGCATACGGCGAGATTTAATTTAAGTGAATGTGAGTTTAACCAATTATGAACATCTTGTACACAAGTCTCAATGTTATTGATAGCGCTGACTGCATTGCTCTGATTGGGTTGGTGGATGACAAACATTGAATTCAAGTTCACTTCATTTACTGAGTTGACCGAACTTACCACTTTAGAAAACACGCTCACAGTGCATTAAAAAAGTATACTGTGAAATGAGAATTTTTAATTGACGAGGAAATACCACCTTTAAAACATGTAAATTCATCCGCTTTAACCCGCCTTGTGTATATGCAGATTTAAAGGCATCGTTTAACAATGTTAAATCTCATATGCATGGCCCTACGTGTCATCAGTGTCTGTGATATGGTGTAATATTAAAGCCCTACAAAATTGGGATTCAAAATGTCCAAGAAGTGCCTCAAAAAAGTAAAAAATCTTGGAGTGACCGGTTTTAACATACTCGTTTCTCCCAATGGATTGTAGTGTTATGAAAATCGTTTGGCAAACGGTTTTCAAAATGTATAATTCCAATCATAAGTATCTTGATAATCATACAGGCGATCGGCTTGTAAAAGTCATTGAGTTCCTGACTGATCTAAAGGTTTATAATTAACATTGCAGCATGAGCTAAATCCGGAATTTTGTTTCAGAATCTGAGACAAAGTTACCGGATCCCTTTAACCTTTAAGTTGTGAGATCGAACGTGTTCAAAGTGTCAATTTAGTAATGGTCCAACTGATGATTTAACATTTAAATATGTATATTATACGAGAAAAGAGAACGACGAAACGTTTTATTCGCTGACGCTATTCTTTAATTTACTTGCAGTTGTAGCAGTTATCGCTGTCATTCTTATATTGGTTGCGTTCTGTGTTGTCATCATATGTTGCTGTCGGAGGCGACAACGGAGGAATCAAGGTATGTTTATATATATTGCTCGTCATCACTTGTTGGATTATGAACATTCCTCACCATTAGTATTTCTACGAAAAGAAAATACCTCTAAGTATAAAACGTATGAAAAAAGCAATCTTTTTTTTTTTTTGCCATTTTTTCCAATGTTTCTATTACTAATTTATCATTTAATATGGCGATGAAGCTCAAATACATGCAGAGATTTACTTTTCTGTTGCGATGTATTAGGCGAACCCTTGATCATTACGAAATAGATTCTGATAAAAAAAAAATAGAACTATGAAAGAGAATATTATTTGTATAATGTTCTGGGTGTAATTTCAATAGATTCAGGCCTCATCCGTTAACCAAAAGACCAACACATAAATGAAGTAGTAAAATTCCCCGAGTATTGAAATAGCAAATATATTCTACACCAAATAGAAATGTCTTGAAGTTCTGTCGTATCATAAGATCGCAAAAGGCAAAAAAAATAGTCAGTTATAATGAATTCTGATAAAGACATATTCAATTCAAGAGTTCTTTATTCGCTTTAAAAAGCACATATAAAAAAAATAAAAAATAAAAAATATACAATATCTTCTACAAATAGGCACATTCACAATATATGTAAAGACAAACAAAACAACATCAACAACAAAATACATGTATAACAGGGTAAGATCAGAGTGTGCATAAATACGAGATAATTTCCTCGCACTCCTCTCGGTTAAGGAAACCCTTACATAAATAATCATCCCTCGAGTTGATCAATTCCTTTACTTGTTCAACTATGCGTATTGTCTCATCATTCACTTGGCATTGTACAGCCCACTGCTTTTGAATTTCATTGTTATCCATGAAGTACTTATCATTCAAGAATCTTATGTTACCTCCCAACACAGAGTAAGCTCCATACCTGGCCATTCCAGCTATATGTGCCACTGTATAATTTTTGGAATTCATAGCTTTCACAACAAAAGATAAACATCTTTTTGCAAACCATAACTCTGGATCCATAACACCTGCTAAATAAGGCAAAAGATGACAGTGTGTCTGCCATGGAATTTTCCAAACCCTTCTTATTGCAACCCGCCATTGTCTACAAATATTATCAAAACATTTATCAAACAGAGGATATAACTGTGAGCCATAGAAACTCGAACAATATTTATGAAACAATATATTTCTTATGTGAGAGTTAGCATATTTGAAATTAAACAAAAACATATTACATTGTCGATTGAAATCTCCAACACACTTTGAGATATCAAAATCATTTATATTCTTAGAAATATCATTCCCTAGATGAGTTACTTTTGATGCAATATCAATATGTCTTCCATTTATCGTGATTCCTGGATCCATAACTGGTTTACCATTACAGCTGAAAACTATTAACTGACTCTTTTCAGGGTTAAACAGAATATCAAATTTAATGGCATAATCTAAACAAGTTTTAATCATTTCTTGAAGAGCAGTCACGCTAGGTGACAGCAGTGTCAAGTCATCTGCATAACCAAATGCTCCTGCAAAAACATTGCCCATAAAGCACCCTATCCCATTGTCACATAACTCTTCTATCAGCCCATCTAGATACAAACAGAACATGCAAGGAGAGATAACTCCACCCTGTTTAACACCATTTTTAACTGTAAAATAATCAGAATATGCATTGTTCCATTTCAACCTTAGCCTTTGATTCTTATACATATTAAGCAATAGCCTGCATATCATTGGGCAGACCCCTTTGCTCAGCATAATGTCAAACAATTTCACATAATTAACTCTATCAAATGCTTTACTAGCATCTAGCAATAATCCATACACATTACTCCCTTCATGATTAAAGTACGATACAGTTTCTTTAACCATAGCAGTGCATAGTGTAGTTGATAACCCTGCTTTGAATCCAAACTGTAGGTCATTAGTCTGCAAGTTCCCTTCTTCCCTTTTCATAAATACATAATCCAAAACTTTACCAATGATACTACCAAGTGTTATTGCACGAAAGTTTCCTGAATCGCCCAAATTTTTCCAACGACCTTTAGGTATTGGTACCATTGTACTTTTGAGCATACCATCTGGCGACACTCCATGCCATAACATGGCAGTAAAAAGCATTGCTAAATATCCACTGATTATTTTCTTTCCATGTATAATATGATCAGACATCACACCTGTTACACCATCACTTTTGGAATGATTTAACCTAAGTATTGCTCTAGATACTTCATCTCCTCCTATAACATGGTCATTCTGTAAACACTCATTACATTCACATTTCTCCTGTGTAGTGGAGTTTATGTGATTCAATAACGTTTCCATATTTCCTTCATCATATCCAATACTTTGATATATCCTTCCAAATTTCAATGCAAACAACTCTGCTATATTTTCTTCCCCCTGAGCACCATCCACTCTGTTTGGGTAACCCTTAGGCTTTTTTGAATGTTTCTTCACCTCTTTCCAAAAATTTCTGCTATTCTTCTCTTTTAATGCATTTGCCATTTTATCACATCTAACTGACATAGATTTGTTCAGCATCAATTTCAAAGCTTTATGATACTCGGACCTAGTTTTCTTTCTTAATCCATACAGTAATCCCTGAGATGGACGATCATTTTCAACCCATATCTTATGCCAGAATAATGCACTCCTAAAATAGGCCTCAACATGATCATTCCACCCAGGCACCACTTTACACTGTTAATTACTGTGACTTGAAATCATAGCATCTGCACTACTCAGTAAAGCAATGATAATATCATCATGAAATACATTAATGAGGTCATGATGTTTTCTACATAACCTGTCCCTACATTGAATGGCTGAAACAGGGATTTTAATTTGCCTGAAGTTTTCTTCCAGTTTTTGTTTATACAACTCCAAATCTTTTGATGATGCAAACTTCCAGTTCACTTTCCCTTCCCTTTCCTTTGATTCTGTTTCCTGATCAATTTCTGTTATCTTTATATCTAGCACACTCTTGACTGCCAGATGATCTGAAAAATTGTGAACACTGTCAATTGTTTCATACCCATGTAGTGCCTCAACTAGATTTTCTGATAACATACAGTGATCAATTAGAGATCTTACACCACTACCCTTGCTACAGAACGTATAATCAAAATTACAACAAGGATCATTTTGACATAAGTAAAAAGAATTCTGGCCTAAAAATTGCAAAAGTGTCGTAGCTTGGTGAGAGTCTCGAGAGATATCTGTATTAAAATCACCACATACACATACATAATCATTGGGGGTTCCTTGTAATATTGAGTCAAGCTCATTTAACGTGATCTTGTATTCATCCAAATTTCCATATAGACACCTATCATCACAAGGCATGTATACACAACATATTAAAAGCATTTTCCCGTCATCTAGAGTAACTCTTACAGCTGTTAACCTCGAAGATTCTAAAACAACAGGTTCCACATTGAGTTTTAAGTCAAGTTTCCATAAGATTGCACATCCCCCATGAGGTCTCCCTTTTAGCAAAACATCTTCTTTCATTGCACTAACCCCATGTTTTCCTGTTCCATTTTGCAATTTATCAAACCATCCGAACTGTGACTTACACAACCCATGTTCTTGTAACAGTAAAAAATCAGCTAAGCCAAAAAGCTCCTGTAAAAAAGGTAATTTTGCATCATTCGCACATTGTGTGTTATAAGAGATAATTGAAATGTTATGCAGCATGTTCATCGTTCTGATTGCTTCTCCTCCACCACCTTTGAACACACACACCATAAAGGCCATATATCTCCGACCATTACTTTGTCTTTCTCAATAACGGGCACAGTGAGTTTATATGAACAGTATGCAGCATTCGGATTTGATACACACTGAATTTCAGCTGAAGTAACACCTTGACCCGTTATATAATCCAACATCTGCTCATCAGTTGTGTCCTTCGACACTCTAGATATGAAGAAATCTCTCTTCGGCAGAGGTGCCCCATGAACTACACCACTCTTCACACTATCGTGTACCTTGTATGCAGACTTTACTTTACTATCACTCCTAGGAGTCCCTGCTTTCCTTTTTTCTTTCTTCTCTTTAGAGACATTAATCCATGGCGCTTCATGTTGATCAATCTTCTCCTTTATCAATGATCTACTTTGGCTATCACTCACTTCGCTATCAGACATCTGTTTTCCTTTGCGCTCTGCACCATTCTCCATCAGCTGATTTTGTTGTTGCCTCGTCATCACTCGTTTGGGTATCACATCCTCGACGTTCTCCACAGACCCAGACAATGCGTTGAATGCGTTGCTCACAGGGATCCCCACGCCCAGGATGGTCTCTGGATCTACTCGCAGAAGTTGTAACACCTCTAGGTACGACAGATGACGATCGGCGGGACTCCATGGACTGCTGACGCACCGTTCCAGTATCCGCTACCCTCTCGGCATACGTCTGTTTTCGAAGAGCATCATTCTTCATAATCAAAGATTCATGCACAGCAACCTTCTCCTCAAGAAGCATCACTCGCTGCAGCATAGCATAGGGATCTATGTCTTTTGGGTCACATTTTGGAAGCACGAATATGTTTTTGACCACATAATTAGTTTCAATTCCTATTTGATCTAAGTACATCATGGCTTCTACAAGATCATCAGCCGTCTGTTCATGTTTCAGTCTGGCGTTTGTGTTCCTACGATTCTTCAACTTTCCTTTCACCAGTCTCTTATCATTGGCTAACATTTCTTTTGCCCTGATCACTGCTTCTGGAGAAAAACTGCGGGCTACACACTCCACAATTTTATCCTTTGTCGTTCTCTTGATGTGGTTCTGAATGAAGCACAACACTTCATTAATAATCAAGGGCTCACTTTCATTCGAATTGTTTCCTTTCTTTTCTTCATTTATTGTTATCTTGACCTCATCAGCCTGCTTATTTCTTTTCTGATCGACGTCAGCCATTTGTTCTCATAATCAAGCCAACCACTGGCCTCAAATCTTCGCTTCACCTTTCCACACACTGTCACTCTCCAGTGAATACGTGGGGCTACACAGCCAATTACACACAGAGTCAACGTACGCGTATTGAGCAATCGTCGCTTCACCCTTTCCACACACCAACAAGTGAATACGTGGGGCTACACAGCCAGTTACACACAAAGTCAACGCGTATTCAGCAGTCGTATTCGAAGAAATTACCCGTTGCACATTCAGTATTTCTTCACATTTATCATGTCTTTATCATATTTACCAAATTTAACTCAGTGTAGAATATGTCGTGATGAATATCAAGATGAAAACAGATATCAGTTCGTAAAAATTAGCCAGATTTCCATGATTTCCAATCTCCTACTATATGCTTTTGTTGGGGATAAAATATGTTTAAATTATATCGCGCATAATATTATAATCCCAATACCCTTTACATGGACTGAGATATAATGGGAGGAAAACCCCTGATGAAAAGGATTGTTGACCTCATATATAGATTCAATTGGAATTTCTCAGGCTGTTTCTCTGAAACTATTTTCGTTCTGTACAGAAAAAGACGACCAGGAAGCCATGCTACTACATCCAGACCCGCAGATAAATGGTAACTACTTATTTTGATCTAGCATGAACATAATTATGAATCCTATTTATTTAATGCAGATACACAAACAAACTTACAAAAGCATACACATGTACACACACACACACACACACACGCATACACACACACACACACACACACACACACGCGACACACACACACACACACACGCACACACGCACACACGCACAAGCATATACGCAGTCTCTCCCTCCACATGTAGACATAATCGCTAACAAGTTGCTTAGGACATTTTTATTTATATATACTTCAAAATATCACTTATATATCTATACATATATTATGTTACTGATGAGCCTTCTGGCGAAACAGTCTGTATAACTCGTACCAATAAAAAGTTTAACCTAACCCACTCCTATATCTATATTTATATACACATTTATATATAAAATACTTGAATCCTTGTCATTTTTAGCGAGGGTATTTTTTTTTTTTTTTTTTTTTTTTTACGATAAAATATTCATTATGAATTTGAGTGTTGACATTATTTCATGGTAAGTTTTATGCAATAACATATTTCTCGATTTCCTCTTATGTCACTCTGATATAGCTACGTATAAATACTCATCAATTTATGTGTTATGATTCCTCTCAGGGAAAGTATCCTTCTTTGAACTCTGGTTCCTGGTACATGATATGTATAAGACAAACTTGAACATTCTAAGGGCCGCCCTTACCGATCTTCAAGTTGAGGTTCCTGGGATCGAGGAAGAACTAACTGAAGACAAGGCCTATGACCTACTCTGTGACTGGAAGGATGCAAACAAATTTGACAATGAGGGAATGAGACTGAAGAATGTATTAGTCGGACATGGACTTGCCCGTTCCTGGAAAGAAATGTGTGGTGTGTATTGATTCCAATCAAATATTAATGATCCACGGTGTACTAGGTTTATTAATTGTTTTTATTTATTTGTTCGTTTTGTTTTAACATGATTTTTTTAAAAGGTGGAAATGATTAACAAAACAACACTTTTTTTTAATAAGTATTCGATGCAGTATCATTGGACCATTTAATGCCACTGATTGAATGAGTAAATAGCGTATACTTTGAACCATGTATATTTTTAAGTAAAAAGAGTGCATGAAAATAAATGTGCCTTTAATAGAGACTTCTATAAGAACAGGAGAAATAATAGATTTCAATGTGTTGTAGTATATTTATGGTTATGATTACGACCTTGTTCATTATATACAGACCCGAGATATAATAGAGAGACTGCGGCTTCTGAACAACTATTGGAACACGTTTTATGGAGTATTGGTGATGAAACAAAGATTCACCAATTCCTTCGTAAACTGATCCCCGAGAAACGTGAAATTCGACCTAATATGTCTGGGAATAAAGGAGTCGTTATCAAGGAAGCTATGGTTGTCCTGAGGGAATGGTGTGACGGAAAACACAATGAAAATCAAGTCATTCCGTTAAGTTTGGCTCTAGAAAGAGCTAAGTGCAAACCGCTAGATAGGACTTTCTTCATGGGTGAGTACCATGTGTTATTCTGCAAGGTTTCCAATGATGCTACTTATGTGTGAGAAAATATTGTGTCTGTTTCTTGCAAAATTAAAACCTAGCTGATATAGATCACGAAAATTGTAATGCTTTGGGGTTTATCAATAACACTTTAATAAGGGACATCATGTAATGGAAAGAACCTGGAATAAGGTCTTGTTATCTTATTTTCGTGTTGTTTCTCTCATCCTCCCTATCTCCCCGTCTTCTTTATGCTTTCCACTCTGAAAAGGGTGAACCCTTGTGTCGCCCAGGAGCTGCTCATCTGTGCGCCAGTGCTATTAGCGTTTTCTATCAAATTTCTCTTTCACATAGACAGAATACAGAGGCAATTTGGTTTGTGTAGGCAATGGGTTTAATTTAATTCACGTCTCACTTAGTAATACATTTTTCGAGATATCTGTTTATTTACATACATGGGACAAAATGTGAGCGACCTAACCAGGAAGATGGGTTGTTTTATCTCATTCTCATGTTCTTTCTCTCCTCCTCTCTTCCCATCACTCTTCTTAATATTTGTTGTAATGATTCTATTATCATCATTTGATTGATACAGAAGTATTTATACAAGATAAACACTGCACATTTCACGGCTTCTGATATTTTGTTTTGCCGTAGTTGCTGATCAACTAATGAAGGCGATATCCCCAAAAGAGGTAGAAGGTTTCGTCTACAGACTGACAGAAAGACATTGCAAGAGGCTTGCTAAGGCCGTAATAATCACCGATCAGAATAAAATTGCCACCATCATGGAAGAAAACATCCAAAATTGTTTTCTCATTCAGTCAATGGTCAACGACTGGGTAGACGGACAGGAATGCTGCAACTTCGAGAAGAGATGCATGCTTGATGATGCAACCATCAAAATTGGCCGCCATGATATGACGGGTAAGATTCCATTACAAAATCAACTTAAACTTTGCTTTTGAAAAGTATGTTTGTATAGTTATTACTTATCATCAAGTACATTTTAGATGGCGCGAAGCGTTACTTTGTAGCACCTATCGTGGTTTTCCTTTTATGTTTTCCAGATGCATTTGGGACAACCAGCTACAGGGTTAAAACAGGTGATAATCTTGAAAGACCACATCCTGATGCTAGGACGTTCAGTGAGTATAATTTTAGTTATATATTTTAGTAGGTAGTGTACTCTTTATTTATCAGTATTTATTTTCTTGTGACAAAAGAAAGGTACATGATCTATCACTTGACCCATACACATTATCTTATGCCATTATTTGATTTTGATTAACTCACAGATAGCAGCAGTATATTCGATGATGATCTGGCGTCCTTGCTAAAGCATCTTCCTACAGGTGCGATACCTTTGTTTCTTGAGAAGCTAGGCATCTCAGTTGACGAGGAAGGTGACGATTTGGAGAAGCTGCGATGTTGGAGAGACCAAAATATCAAAGAATCAAAAAGATATTCCCTGCAGGCCCTTGTTTCGATCCATAGTGATGCATTGAACGAGGCGAATGACAGTCATGGTAATTGTCTGGAAATAAATGTATTATGTAGATAGTAGGCCATAGCTAATTATTCGATAAAATATGTTTCTTACAAAGCGTTTTATCACAAACTGACCAATTTGCTTGGCAATCATTATTATTAATACTCCATCTTTGGATTCAATTACTACCCTATACATTACAGTGTACATTCTTCACCCTGGGGGAACATTCCAGCTAGTCGCAGACGCTAATCGAACCAATATGCATGCTACCCATTCACAAATGGGCAGGGAGGAGCAATGCAGATAAAATGCCTTGCTCAAAGACATAAGTTCCGTGCCGGGACTCGATACCACGATTGTTGCTTTCCTAGTTAATCGGATAAACCACTCGAATACGAAACATTTGCTCATAGGCCATAGGAATTTTACCAAGTCAAAACCTCTGGCTAGATACATCCTTCAAAAAGTGTGTCACGGTTCTTTTAGTAACATCATTTACCTTTAAAAATGTATCAATCTACTTAAATAATCTACTCTCCACCCAGGAGAAGCAAATACCTTGTCAGCTTGATTATAACTCAGCTAAAGTTGGTACTAATAACATATGCTTGGTAAGAATATGATTGCTGGACCTCACGAAGTAAATATAACTAAACATGACGAGACTTGGTTGTAAAATTATGGAAGTATTATTATTATTATTATTATTATTATTATTATTATTATTATTATTATTATTATTTTTATTATCATAATTATAATGTTGTTCTTGTAGCGATCATTTCTATTATGAAATAACACGCATTGAACAACTCATTTTTCAAATGATGTAAACTGTGCATTGTAATGAAAAATTGTCATAAGATTGGGGTTGCTTTCCTGATGTCATCAGCATAAAATATGGAGTGATAACTTTATAACATATAATACCGGTCTACTTTCAGTCGAAAGTACAGGATATAACGAGTACTATAAGTATTTGATTTTATCTATTGTTTTTAAGTACTTGACGTGAACGATGATGAACTGGAGAACGTGATTGCAAGCATGACTTCCATGAAACAGATGGAAGAACTCACCTCAAGACTCGGGATAAAAAACGACAAAGAGCAATCACATATTCTTCATCTCACAGAATGGAGAAATAGATGTGAAATGGACGAACGCCGTAAAACGCTGAGAGAAGCACTCAATGCTATGGAATTACCAGGTACGTTCTTTTCACATCCCACCTGACAAGTCAAACTATTAAATTGTCTTGGGGAAAAAATTTACCATACAAAACAGGGTAAGGAAGAAATTTAAAAGAGAGAAGAAAAAAAATTGAATCATAATATTTGTTAATTGTACAAAGTTCAGCTCACCTTTTGACCTTAAAAGACACGGGACAGTGTCAATTTCTCAATCGCCGCTCTATACCCACCCTTTACTACAACGTTGTGGAACAAACTCTGAAGCCCTTTACGATTGCAAGGAAATGGCGCTACAACAAATAATTTGTGAATTATACTAGATTATGTTGCGTTGGATGGCACAATTGATAACATTCATTTGATGTACAGGTGTCGTGGTCGAGTAGATATGTCTCACCGGACTAATGTCCTTTGGCAAGACATTGATCTACATTTGCCACACTCAACCCGGGTAATGTAAATGGGTACCTGGCAGGAATTCATCCTGAAAATGATAGAGCGCCGTAATGGCAGCCGTGCTAAAGCCAGGGTAATAATCGGGAGCGCCAGGAGTGTCAAGTCTGACAGACATGAGCGCTATAGAAGAACCCACTATCATTATTTTTATTATTATTATTATGAACAGTTTACAACACATGTGTAATTTTTTAACCCGTCTCTCGAGAGATTTCTTATAATAAGGTAACACTATTTGATGTAATCTTTGAGGCCTTTTAACATGTTGAATGTTCACTAATTGTTGTAGATCAACTGCCCACGAGGACGATACTGTTTTTTTTTATTTGCTTATCGATTTATTCTGTTCTTTTGTTGGTTATTTGTGCTGCTGGTCTAGACGGCCGTCGCTATCTCTGCTCTATCTTGCTGTTTTTTCAGTCGACTAGGAAGACCGTATCTACTGTACAACATAACTTGCAAACAAAACACCGTTCACATGCCGATCTCAAAATGTCCCGAGTTCGTTCAAACACACATAGAACGCTATTTATTACGTGTTATATATGCTCCCTTAAAACATATTTCGCTTTCTGTCTTTTTCCATTTAGGAAGCATTCTTGACCGACTTCCTGCAGAACATGTTTACCAAGCTGAGCTGGTACGTTTGGCATGGAAAATATTTTATATCGATGTTTGGCCATTGACAACGCTTCTTGACATGGACACGAATAACGAGAAATCATTTGGGGAACAACAAACCAAAGGAACTGTACATCTTCTGATACAACTATTGGAGAAGTCGAAGGGTCTTGATAAACATCGCCGTCGTGATTTCTGTGTTGCTATTAGAAATCTTGGTTACTTCGATGTTGCTCGATCAGGCTATTTTGGTAAGGAGCATTAACCGATTTGGCATTTACCTACGTCAAGAAACATTCTTGATTTAAGGTAGCTTAGGGACTGTTGGCACTCAAAGACATGTCCGGAACGCAAAATACATAAATGTGGAAAACACAATTTTGTGTCATAGAGATAGAACGAAATAAATATAATTATTATCATATGGAGCTGGTAAAAAAAAACGTTATGGCATGTATTGGGTTAATTGACACCAAACTGTCATTCAGATTATCTGAAATTGCACACTCTTATTCACGTATAGCAAGTACGATTATGCATATCGGACGGGTCTATTTAGGATTCACTTGCTAATCTAAAGCTATGGTAATTAAGAATTCCATGCATATAATATGAATGCATGTATGAATTCATATAAAAGACGCATTTTGATAATGATTCAGCGTTGAATAGATGCCTGGATTTTTTTAGATGCTCAGTTCCCGGCTATCATTTATTTTCTAACTATATGGTTTGCCTAGTCACAATTATTCCTAAAATTAATTAACGAGTGTGACCTTCGTTTATTTCCGTGAATTTTTGTTAACATCCTTATTAGAACTGACATTATCTTTCATCAAGTTCTGAAGAGGACATTAAAACCTTAATCTGTTCTCCCTCATGTCTGAGATTATGTTTTGTATATAGTCAAAAAGATGTCGTAGTGATTAAGACAACGAGTCACTCTCTCGTTGTGTAAGCAAAGTATCTCTTTTGGATCTATTTCACGAAAAAAGCACTTTCTTACAAGCTCTATGCTACGTTTGCCCTACTTGGGTATTTTTTCCTTACCCATTTAAAATTCTTAAATCCATGCTTGAAGGTTATGACGCAAGCCTCAGCGAACTTTGTAACATGACGTCGGGATTGTCGGAAGACGATATGGTAAGATTGGTCGACCGTCTTGGATTGGAGAAAGATGTTCTTTCAGTCTGTCGAGGAACAACAGAAGCATACGACAACTTCAAACTTATGAAGATCTGGAGAAACCAGCTTAGACTTCAGCCACTTCACTTCAGATTGGAGCTAGCTTTGGGTCTTCGCGCTGTTGGGAGAACCAATATTGCCAGTAGGATTCTCGCCGGTAAGCACCATACAGAAAAATCAATGCATAATGTATAATGCACTTGATTTATATCATATGTAGCTTTTGTTTTAATTTACTTTTTTAACTGTTTTTGTATTTCTGAAATATTTGATTACTTTTTCCCGACTGATGTGCTGGCTTTGAATTATTAGCAGGTATTTGGTGCCATGCGTACCTGACTGGGAGGGCAAGCGGAATCACTGCAAGAACCTTACCCGTGATCACTGTTAACCACTTGACCACTACACAGAAAGGTCCCACTCCCCTCTTCTCTTGATTTACCTCATCCTCCCCCTCCCATGTTAATCGAATAGTGCAGGGGGTTCTTAACGGGCAAAGTTAGTTTTTCTCAATAATTCATCTTTAGCATAGGCCTACTTGTTATTAAGTTTGTACTGTGGGAGGAAGATCGAGATACAGATAAAGTAGGTGAGGGGGAGCTTTATGAAGGCTCTACATGTTATAAAATATCTTCTTCATCATAAACATATCATAAAGGGACTATCTTACAAATAGAGTAGGTTCTGTACCATCGCTTGAAATTTCTCTGATTTTCCTAAATCTTATAGGTGGGTACCACACTACGGAAGTCGGTTCCAGGGTTGTAGAAAGCATTTGCAGTAGTCTAGAGGATGACCAGCTGAAAATGCTCTGTGAACACCTTACCTTGAAGGATCAGAATGACCAGAGTCCTACAACGGATACAGCAACAGTTGTGACGGAGTGGGTAAGAAACTGGTTGGAAGAATTTGACAAATTTTCAGTGATGAAAATAATCATGGACAAGATTGACCTCAGGAGAAAGAAGATTGACAACCTGTTTAGTGCCGGATTTGTCATACTTGCTGAGGAAGTCATGCTACTCGAGATGTCCATAATTCTGTATGGCAAATCAGCCGATAAGACATGTGAGGAGACACCAAGCAAGGATGATTTTGATGTCGAACCTGACAATGAGGAGAATCAGGTGGCATCTATGAAATCTGAAAGCGAGCAAGCGAGTGAGGAGTGTCTGGAAAACGCTAGCGACCAGGGATATGTAATCATACCGAACAATGAGGAATATGACGGGGGCTTCATGCAAGTATGAATATGAAGTCAACTCGGACAATAAGGTGTGAGAAAAGACATCGGAAATACATGAATATGACATCGAGCAAGCAAATGAGAAGAGTGAGAAGACATTGCCGTGTTCGAATTCATGTCGCAGGAAAATGGGTACCTAGCAGGAATAATGTCCTTGAAATGCTCGAGCACTGTAATGTCAGCCGTGCTAGAGCCATTGTAACGATGACATGGCGCCATGAGTGGCATAATGTACTTGACTCCACTATGTTTTTATATTGTCATCTTACATACTATGATGAGGTTGCTTGATGCCTCCTATGAACCTTGTCAAAACGCAATCGTTGATGACGTGCGTCAAGGTTTGGTCTTGGTGGTTGGTTTAATGTATTGGTTAATTTATCAAGATACTGAACCTGACAGTCCTTAGGCTGATCTATATTAAGTGAACACACGATAAAAACAACTTCACTTGCATATCAACGTTGTAACAATTATCAACATTCATTATATTTAGGAAACTATTAACATTCATTAAAGTAGGGAAGATGGTGACCAGAGCTGTATGCTGCCGGCATTCTCTCTGTATTGGTTTTGCACTTGTTTTGCTCAGTCCTGGCATGCTCAATCTCGTGTCTTCAGGGAAGTCTGTGCATTGTCACATAGCTTGCGCCAAATTTCGTTGGGGTTGTATTGCACAGATTGGTTCTTTACTTGACCAATAACTTGGGTATTTAAACATGCGCTTTTATAAAGAGAATGTTAAATTCTGGGAAGAGGTGAACAATGATTTTTGAGCGTTATCATTGTATTATGCAAGTGTGGAAGAACGTCAGATGATGAATATTCCCTGAAAAGCATGACTCTTCAAATGCAATATAAATATGGCATGTGACATCATAAAAATTGGGACGGAAGTTTATGTCACATGTTCGTGTAGTCCCATATCTTTCTGTGTACAGTGCTTGTAACTATACTAAGACTGGGCTAAATGTATTATGATTTTGATGACTCCAGAACCTTGCAGTACACACTAATACTTATATGCTAGATGATCAACTTTTTTTTTGGATCAATTCCACGTTTCTTTCACAATGATTTTGAATGAACAGAACTTTATCTTAAATTCAACTACTACATTCCTTAGTATATTTATTATCGTTATAGTTATTTGTGTACATGTTTTGTTGGAATATGCAAATGAAAACAACTATATGAAGAGTGAACTATTATGTAGTCAACCCTATTTAAACTAATTTCAACGACGCAGCATTTCCTGTATACGATGTAACTATATAATACAGTATTCTCCAAACTTTTCTAAAAAAACGGCCCTTCGAAGGGCCACTCCTTCCGACGAATCGCACAAATCCTTCGCATTTATCAACACGGTGTGGAATATATATATAGTGTAATATAAATGTGTTGTGGGAAAGGAGGAAAAATAGGTGTTTTCTTTTTTTCATTTGTATATAATATACATTCATTATACACTGCAGCATCCAATTGTATAGTGACGATGATAATGTCAGTACATGTTTAGCAAGTATGATAACCATGTGCTAATACAGCATTTAGTATGTAAATCGTACTTTATCCTTTTTGTAAATCATTCTAACTCATAGTTACGATTTTGTATTACCTTAGTTTCATACTTTTTTCCTTTTCGTATCTAATATTTTGACAAAGGGTATATATAGGGAAAAGGTCGTGTTGATTCTTTTAAAATGCGTAATCCGTTCAAAATACATTGATATTTTTTTGTCTTTAAATGTTTGGTTTTAGAGTGTGACTTTGATGAAAATACTCATCCATGATCTTCAGAGCATAAAGCAAACCCGGAAAAAACAGGAAACCTATAGCTTTGTCTTTACAATACCCACCGAAAATAAATATATTTTATAAGCAGTTTAGGATTCATCCACATGTAAAATTTCCATTTTAGGCAATGGAAATGAAAATACTGCTGATTGTGGAAAACGTTAGATGCATCGGAAACTCTGGTCGGGAGACGATTACCAATAAAACCTGTAATTGTTGCCATACCTTTATAGATCAAAACGCAGATGGATCGTGTATGTAAAACATGCACAATTCTGACCAGCAGTTTACGTCTATTCGTCAAGTAAATAATTTTAGACTACTTGATACGGCCGATTGCCAGATGGATTGCCTGTCTTTCCTCTTTCCTGTTTTTACATATTTTGCGTTTTGCGTTTATAGTTTTTCTATTCGTTCGTTTATTTGCTTTGGAGGATTGACGGTTCATCTATGGTGTGCGATGATGTAAATGTGTTTATTGTAGCTTACAAATCAAATATGTGTTTTCCGAATGCCAATAACAAAGGGACCATTTACTCTCATATTTCTTCTCGAGATATACTCTAGATATATTCGCATTTAGATAACGATATAAGAAGAAAGAGGACATGGTCAATGGAGATATGTAATAGAAAATGTCACTTTGAAAATGCACACAAAAAAAGTATTTATTTTGGATGTTGTTAAAATGTCGTACGGTTATTTCGGATCATATCCGAAGAGTATTTGATTGCCAATGTTGAACCTAATTTACAGAGTTTTATGTGTAATATTTCTTAGATACAATCTGGAGCAGAGTAGACTTGAATCATATTTTAAAAGTGATGTTGGTCATATCTTTGGTTCTTCTTTCTTTTGTAAAAACAACAGAATTTTCAAGTTAAAGTATTATTAAAGAAGTTAAACATTTTTTAGTATTGAGATGTGTTTTTCATCAGGTATGTACATGTTTAAAGAGCATAGGATGCGACGTTTTCATAGGGGATATAGATAGGTTAGTTCAGGGCCTGCCTAATCTTAAAGAATTGAATTATATGTGAGACATAAAAAGGGATACTAGAGAAGTGTGGGGGAATATAGGTCAATTACAGGACCAAGTTGCAGAGAGTCGAATGAATAGAGGAGGAGTAGGTGTTTTTAACATGACTTGCAAGTCTTGAGTTGATAATCTTATTTCGATGTTATGTGAAGTATAACCCTATTGGTTGACTTTTGGTTATTTTTTTGTTGGGCCTTGTTTATATTTCATTGTTGAAATATCAAGACGTACTGTCTTTTCTTATTGTATGGACTGGGGTATATGTTTTTAACGCCATAACAAAGTGAGGTTATTGCTAAATGGTAAATGGATTATGTGTAAGTGACAGAAGACATACCTATTTCATGGTACAGGGTGAATGGGTAACTAGCTTGTAATTTGAGCACTGCATATATCATAGTTTTGGCAAAAATTAAAATATTGCCATATTTAAAATATACGCTAACATTTTCATTAACGGTTAAAAGGGTTTACGCTCAAATTTCATTTTTATACAAACATATGTTAATAAATTCGGTGAAAAGTGTTAAAGGTTTGATGTTTTGTGAGATCTCTCTCTCTCTCTCTCAATCTCTCCCTCTTTTCCTTTTATTTTTTTCATTCGCATGAAAAAGATTGATCTCCAAATAGTCTCATATTTCAAACGTGCCTAGAGGAACAATTCACACATATACACTGTTTTATGTTTGTTTAGTCTCGCGCGCCTACGTATGTATTCAAATTAGAATCTGTCATGTACTATAATTAATCATATTTCCTGTAAGTTCCCACCTTAAATTCTATATTTAATCAGTTTTATTGTGTATACCCTTGTTTGCACTTTCAGTGTGCATATGATGAGTGAGCGCAAGGAAGACTATGTTAGTTTCATGAACACATTTTGCATGATATGTAAACTGCCATATGATTTTAATGTTGCGGATATAATCATATCGCGTGATATGCCTGGCCGATGTGCAATTAATGTTTGTACTGGGCGATGTGCCAACATAATGAGACAAACATCGCAAACAAAAAAAATGAAAAAGTAGACTTTGCTCCCTGGCTGCAAAGCATGCACGCACGTTTTGGGACTTTCATAAAAATCTCTTTTCATTTGTCTATGCAATACTCTTTTCAACAGGAAAGAAGCGCGATTCTATGCCAATTTGCCTCTACACATAACGTATGTTAATATACACAGTAAAGTAGCAGAGGTCCAATCAATGAGGGGGCAGTGGTATGCTTTTGTTCGGGGGGGGGGGGGGGTGTTACATCCACAAATGTAATAACGCCCACAAATGTAATAACACTTTACCCACAAATGTAATAATTTCACCCACAAATGTAATAACCACTTTACCCACAAATGTAATAATTTTGAATTACCCACAAATGTAATAATGACTTTACCCAAAAATGTATTAAATATTTTTTAAGTGATATTTTGTCGAATTTGTTCAAAACTAAAACCCTGATATAAAGCATGGGTATAGCGCGCAGTCTTTACTCCAGACCCGGTTATTTAAAAAAAATAAAAAAATCTTCAAAACTAAGACCCCATAATCCTTTTCATGTGGAATAACATGAGAATCGAGCGTAGTCTTTCCTCCAGACCCGGTTATTCAAAAGTTAAAAAAAACTTTTAAACTAAGACCCCACCATCTTCCAAACTAAGATTCGGTAATAAAGCATTGGTTTAGAGCGTAGTCTTTACTTCAGACTCGGTTTTTTTTTTAATCTTCAAACTAAGCCCTCACCATCTCATTCCTGTTGAATAACATGGGTATGGAGCTTAGTCTTTCATCCAGACCCCGGCAGTTATTTTAAAAGAAATAGAAATTTAAACAAATCTTCAAAACTAAGACCCACCATCTTATTCCTCTTTTTCCACACATATATAAACACATACTAGTGGCATGTTGATATATTTCTGATTTTCATTGTATGTGTGTGTGTGCGTGCGTTGGGTGTGTGTAGGAGCGTTTGTGTGTGTTTGTGTGCGCATATGTTTTGTTGTGTTTGTTTGTTTGTTTGTTTGTTTTATTTATTTATCCACGGTTAAAAACACCTGCTATCAGCCACAAGGCTGTTTTTCAGCAAGTCCGTTAAAAACATTCACACAATATACATAAACAAAACAAATACAATTCATAATACAAATTAAAATAACAAGAATACACAAT